GGTTTATGTTTAAAATGTTTTCAGGTACTTCTGAATCGCACTTCATCCCATGTATATTTATTCTACACTGAATGTTTACAAATTACTATGATGTTTTGAGAATACGTTGACCTTAATCATCTTATGGAACAAAGAATAAATGGTTTTGACTTATTTAAAACGAAATTTTTACTTGGGGTTTTTGGGACGTTACAAGTTGTTATCAACACCTTGGTTCGAGGGATTTGGGCACACTCTTCGGTTTTCTGAACTCAAACTAAGGATTTGGTAATCTTTTTGAAAAATATATAATTTTTTTAAGAGGGTTTCTATAAAGAAAAAGGGGTGTGATGTGTGCAATCAGCCAATTCAAGTAAGTTTTCCCACAATACCCATACACGTGATATGTTTATTGTTTTGGTATGAGTACATGAGAATTTCATGCTAGATTATGGGTAGGTATCTACTCAGGATTGTATGAATACTACTAGGAGAGATGCTTTTATATGACTATTGATTAGGCTTTTAGAATTACATGCTAGTATGGATTTCAGATGTTGGATAGAATGGCCTGATTGGGTAATCCACTAGTTTAGATTACTCGATTCTCGAATGTTGCTTGCTTTGTGATTTTAGGGACTCCCAATAATATTAGCTAACTATTCAGAGAATACGTTAGGTTACATGTTACATGGGTTAGATGGTTTTAAAATGCTAGGTTTAACTCTATTAAAAAGCACTTGTCTGAGTCTAACCATTGTAGTGTGAGACCTTGCATTTGATGATTTCTTAATATATATGGCATGTAATTGTATTCGTGAGGCAGTTAGGAGATTTTAAAGACAGTCTCTTCTGTAGCTGATGGTGGGGAGTGGTATTAAAGGAACCCTAGGAAAACCTAGGAGGCGTTTTAGTTCATAAGGCGCTATGTCGTCTCAGTGAATCATATTGATATTAGTAAGGGTTCTTCAGCATCTGATGACAACGTGAGGTAGGAATCGTAGGAGATTCCTAGGAAGTGCCTTATAGGAATCGGTGTGTTTTTTAACGGTGTGTATTCGTTTGATAGCAGGGATATGTGATTGGATCGGACGAAAGTGGACATGAGTAGTTACATAGAGGATCCGGAATGATTCTTATGGAAAGTATAGGTAGGTGTGAAGGTAGTATTAGGCCGTACTACTGAAAGCACATGATCTATATTCGAATTGAGGAGGATTTCATGGATTTTAAGGATCTGATGGAGGGTAGATTATATGGTTTGGCACCATGATTCACTATATTGTGTTTCCATCCTTATCGATTTATCGCTTATGGTTGTTTAGGTTGAGGATGGGTCTGGTGAATTGTTTGGGCCTTAGTGGCTATCTTAGTTTGGGTTTGAATGGTGCAGACCTAGATGAGTTAGTTGATTTTAAGTTCTCGAGTGCCTTGCTTGAGGTGGTACCAGTTGAGTCGCGGGACTCAAGGAGGAAGTGATTGTGATGATCGACTCTAGGATTGTAGCTGAAGGCTGAGTGATTTGCAAATGGAATAGGATGTCACTATCTATGATGGCGGTTATCTTCTTTCAACTTTTTGTGTTTGGAGGAAAGAAAGAGCAGGCATGTGATTTTAAAATTTGGGTTGTAGACCCAGCATGGGACTAAATGGTTGCGGTTTTTGGTGGCAAGTATGGAAGTGTGGGAATTCATAAGAGGATTATTGTAGGCTAGTAGCCTTGAGATGATATCAAGGCTTTGCTTTCTTTGAATATTAGTTAGGTTAGGTGCTAGTTGATTTTTTCATGTGATAAGGGAAAGTGAATAGGGAATGCCAACTTTGTTGTCTCTTATATATCCTGACAATGATAATGATGTCTCTTGTATTTATGAAAGATTATTGCAATGAATTGATAGTTGAGGATTTGTAGGCAAGGTGTATGGTAGTCCATTTGTTTATAATAGAGAATCGGAACTAAGAATGGACTGTCAAAATTATTATTTGAACATCTACATGGGATTCTTAATGTTAGAGGCGGTTGTGATTGGGAAGCTTTGAAGGTCTCCATCTGATATTTGACAATCTCCTGAGTTTTCTTGGCCTTTATTTGGAAGATTATCTTGTGTTGTGTTATAGATTCCAAGCGTCAAGGGTTTCTGAGCTTGGGAGAATAATGGAGACTTAATGATTACGAAACCTTAGCCATCATGTACTTTAAATAGGGTCTAAAGCCTAAGAATTAGGGTTTTCTCTAAAAATAGTTGCCACATCGTGGCAACCCATGGTCACGTCGCAGTGCTCATTAAAATCTTGTGATAAAAAAGGTATTGGCATGCTGTGGTGAAGCTTCCACCATGTCGTGGCCACCCAAAAATGAAAATCAAAAATTAGAAATTAACTCATACCTGAAAGGTGTTACAATTTAACAGGCGTTACAATTTTTTTCTTCATTTACCCATATATGCCATCATTTTAATTTTTTTTCTAAATCGTTTTTCTCCAAACACAAAACCAACAAGTCCCAATCTATTACAAATTATCTCAATTATAACAATGCCATCCAATCACATAATAATTTTCACATCGGTTTTATATGAGAATATCCTATTAAGGAAAAAAATTGAAAGTACAATGTTATAATTCAATAGATCTTTTAAACTACATTACCTTAATAAGAATAAAGTTGAAAGTATAATGTTGTAGTAGAAAGAAATGAAGTAAGATGTTATAATATACAAATAAATGAAAGTATGTTGTTATCGCTTGCATTCGGCCCGCTATTTTTTCATTTCATTTCCCCAAGTGTACCTTCATTTTCTTAATCATTCTTTAAAACGTCATTTATACAAACAGAACTTAATATGAAAGAAAAGAAATTGATTTCAAAGAAAGGAAAGTATGTTGCTATTTCTTGATTACCCGCATCAATCTTCAATGTGTTCTTTAAGTTGGGCCTTCTCATAGTAAAGCTCCAACATTGCTTCCTCGACATCCTCTAACGTGCTCAACTTGTTACAAAAATAATAACATACTTTCAGTGATTTGTTTATTATAACATCCTACTTACCTTTCTTAACTATTAGAATCTAGCTAATTATTGTAATGCCATATATAAATGAAAGGACAATGATGCACTTTGTCTTTCATTGATTCATTATCATCGCATTCTTCTACTTTGATTTCTTGTTATAGTGTACAATGTTTAATATGAGAAAAAATTTGAAAGTACAATACCTTGACGAGCAAATTTTGAAAGTACAGTGTTGTAATGGAATAAAATGAAAGTAACATAATATAATACATAGATAAATGAAATTATGTTGATATATCTTGCATTTAGCATAGATTTAATGTTATCTTGGATTGATAGTTGCAAAAGGTGAAGAGATAGATGAGAATGTTTGGGAAACAATTTCCTTGTATATCATTAGGGTTAAATGCAAGAAATGGCAATGTGCTTCCATTGATTTGCTTCTTACAGCATTATACTTTCATTTTCTTTTTATTACAGTATTGTACTTTGAAAAATCTACTCAATTATAGTAATAACATCCAAATACAAACCACTTTTTACTTGGTTTTTTTAGTCCAATGGCCTAATAAGAAAAAAAAAAAATTGTAACTATAATATCGTATGGAAAGAAATGAAAGAAGCATACTCTAATAAACAAATAAATGAAAGTGCATTGCTACTTCTAGCATTTAGCCCAATATTGTATGCTATCTTGGATCAATATTTGGAAAAAGATGAAGAGATTGATAACACTGGTAGGGAAAATAAGTTACCTTTATCTGAAATTTTTCCCAAGCAAAAGATTGAAGAAAGAGGTAGGGAGCTCATAATGTTGAGATTTAGCATCTTCACTCTTCACAGCTATTGGCATTTCTTCTAATGGTGCAACACAACCAATAATTTCACAAATACATAAATGAATCATATAAGTTCTTCCGAATTCTGGAAAGAAGACATTAAAATCTTATTTTCCGAATTTGCCTCCACAATTTTTAACAATCTTGGAGTCACCATTACTGAACTTCAACAACTTTGTGAGAAAAAAAAGACAAAAGTAAGAAATGTTCGTATACGATTACATAATTAGTCCATCTAATTGGAGCACATTGTGATCCGACCCTTCAGCCTTCCAAATGGGCATCTAAATCGTCAACAGCTACTGTGCAATTTTTGTTGAGTTCGGAAATCAGTCTACTCCTTCACTAATCCATACACAACTCATATTGCTTCATAATAAACTCCAATTCAGTGCTATATATATACTGCCTAATTATCCCAAATTTGGGAAAGTGAAACAAATGCAGTAATTATCTAAAATGGGTAGAACAACTCCAAGTTAAATGTACATTAGCTTAGATATGATCTTACAATGAACAAAAGCCCTAAGGCCTTGGAGTTGTTCTTGAAAGGTGGGTTTCAAACAGTTTCAAACTAAAATAACTGCTCTAACCAATCATTTCAATTATTTATGAAAAATTACAGAAATGGTCCCTCCTCACGTATGGTGATAAAACTATGAAAATGGAAAACCTAAAATATATATTGCCCTAATATTCTCTTTCTAAACCGTGCTCATCTTTTCGGTATATAAAAAATCAATATTTACGATTCTTTGCAACAGAGATAATTTCATCAAGAAACACCAATCATTATGATTCAACAAATTGATCGTGGACATATTCTATGGCTCTCTTTTAACTATCTTTGTAATCTTCGTCTCTTTTGCACTTCACTTCCTATTTTTTTATGTGAATTAAATTAAAAGGGTCGGCTAATTACGAATCATAATGTAAAACAACTTGTTTGATTACCACTAAAACTATAAAGAAATACTACTTGTGAGATTATCATATGCTCTTCTTTGTTTTTTTTCCCTTCATTCGATCACATATAACCCTCCGCAAGCTAGCTAGCATCCCAAGTTTGCCTTAATCACTACAAACGTCCAAGGATATAATGCACAAATCACGTAGCTCTACATATAACTCAAATTCATTAGCACACATTTCTTTGTAGCTCAATAGATATGGACATGTTCTATGGCTCTCTTCTGTCCCTCTTTGTAATCTTCGTCTCTTTTGCAATTCACTTCCTTTTCCACAAAAAAAATCCGACAACCACCCTCCATCCACCTGGCAGATCAGGGTGGCCATTTCTTGGGGAGACCTTGGAGTTTCTTTCCACCGGTTGGAATGGTCACCCTGAAAAATTTGTATTTGATCGCATGACCAAATACTCATCTAATATCTTCAAAACGTCATTGTTAGGATCCGATGCTGCTGTTTTTTGTAGTCCCGCAGGAAACAAGTTTTTGTTTTCCAACGAATACAAACTTGTACGGATGTGGGTGCCGGATTCTATCAACAAGTTGTTTCCTTCTAAATCAAGTCCAGCAGAAGAAGCCATGAAGATGAGGAAAGCTTTTCCAAGTTTCTTAAAACCAGAAGCTTTACAAAGATACATTGGCGTAATGGATGATGTCACTGGAAAACACTTTTCGTCTTCATGGGAAAACCAAGAAGTTGTCACTGTTTACCCTCTCATCAAACACTTCGCATTTGACATCGCCTCTCGGTTGTTTATTAGTGTAGAAAGCCCTGAGCATATTGCAAGATTTGCAGCGCCTTTTGATAGGTTAGTTTCTGGGATTTTTTCTATTCCAATAGATTTTCCAGGAACACAATTTAACAAAGCCATTAAAGCTTCAAAGCATATAAGGAAGGAGCTCATTGAAATAATCAAGAAAAGAAAGAGTGATTTGGAAGAGGGGAAGGCTTCTCCTAAACAAGATGTATTGTCGCATATGCTTGTGACAAATGGTGATGATGATGATGATGCTATGACAGATTCAGATATTGCTAATAAGTTAATAGCTTTGTTGCTTGGTGGACATGATACTATTGCTAGTACATGCACTTCCATTGTTAGGTATCTTGCTGAGCTTCCAACGATTTATGAAGGAGTTTACAAAGGTAATTAATTATTTGGCAATACCCTTTTAAATATATGTTAATCTCCAAAAACGTTATTTTATGATGGATATAAAATCTAGTACATGCACTTCCATTGTTATTTTGTTATTTTTTTTGGTTTAGAACAAATGGAAGTTGCAAAGTCAAAAGGCCCAGGTGAACTATTAAACTGGGAAGACATACAGAAGATGAAATATTCATGGAGTGTAGCATGTGAAGTCTTGAGGCTTTCTCCTCCTTTTCAAGGAACTTTCAGAGAAGCACTTACTGATTTCACCTTTAATGGTTTTTCCATTCCAAAGGGCTGGAAGGTATCATCTTGATCATTTATTATTGTCAGATATGTTGACATTTTGAACTTTTTATATTTTCAATGAAAACCCTTTTATGGAGAGATAATATACTCGAACATATATTCAAGCAGATTGAAACATGTCTAATTAACAAATATGGGACACCAACACCAACCATGAGGCCGAGACTTGATGAAAATAAACTAGATGTGTTTTGGTCCTAAAAGTGCTAGACCTCGACTCTAATATTTGTTACAAATGTAGAGTCCTTGATTTTAAATGTTCCAAAAAGTCCAAAGAGAAAAGAACATACTCATGGCATATGGGACATGTCTAGCTGACATGGGACATCAACAATTTCACTGCCAAAATTATAAATTTTGAAATCAAGTTGTATTGCTTTTTATAGATAAACACATGGTAATGTATAACATTTTATGCAATATTGATCTCTAAGTTTCAACGATGTTACATTTTAGATATACTGGAGCACAAATGGAGTGCATAGAAACCCTGAATACTTTTCGGAGCCCCTTAAATTTGATCCCACAAGATTCGAGGGAGATGGACCAGCTCCATACACATACGTGCCATTTGGAGGAGGAGCTAGGATGTGTCCAGGCAAAGAGTTTTCTCGATTGGAGATTCTTGTTTTCATGCATCACATCGTGAAGAGGTTTCGATGGAAAAAAATCATTCCTGATGAAAAGATCATCGTCGATCCTATGCCAGTTCCTGCCAAAGGGCTTCCTGTTCGTCTTTACCCACACAAAACCTAGACAGTACCTCGGTTTACTTGTAACTGATAAAAAAATATCATTTGAGCATTTCATATATAAATAATTTGAAATGATTGTTTAAATCTCGCTCGATTAAACTTTAGATCAAATAATCATGAGTAACTGTTGATATGTAGTTAGTTGTTTATATCGATAGCTATAGAAAGACAAATTCGATAATTAGATAAGCTACTCAAGTCCCTTAGTTCCAATGTTGATTCTCCTTGCTTTTTCGTTAAAGAAATATTATTATAACAGCCATGTGATATTATGCATGTTTATTATAAATAACATGATCCATGTTTATTTTAATTATTGTGCTTGCATGGCAATTGTATGTGAATACAGGGGAAGATAGACGGTATTGTAACATGAAATAAATTGAGATAATTTATGAATTTGTCTAAACTCCTAACACACAAAATATAGTACACTCGTGGGCGGATTTGATAGTGTCCCGGGGTGTCCAGGGCCACTACTTAATTTCGTCTCACAAAGTAAAAATTTTGATATTTTTTATGGTATTACAGTGTAACTACTACAAAAAATGTGCAACTAGTATGGATCCAACTAAGGTTATCAAAATAACGATTTTGATATCAATCCCGATCTTATATAACCGTTTTTAGGGAGGATCGTAATATCGAAGGTAAAGTCGTAAGATCGAAAGCAATCCGATCCCACGTAAAAAGACAAAAGAAAAATGGAAAGAATAGGGAGAAATAAAATATGCAATCAGAAGTTATGTAAAATAGGCATGGAGTGGCATATCTCTATCCTTTGTTGTATGTTGTATACAATATTGTATGTATTAGACTAGATATTTATAATAGTTTATGGTACTAAAGTGTAATATTATCTTGTATATATATCCCTATGTAATCTGTACATTCAATATACAATACTACGTGTTTACCAAGTTTGTTGTGGTATCAGAGTCAATTCACCCTAACCCTAATCGGCCTCCCTAGCTGTCCAGGCGTCCACCCTACTCCAATCGACTTCCTGTAAGACACAATCTTTATGTCTCTCTGATTATCACACACACAATAGCTTTCACTCAAGCAAAGAAAACCATTCACAACACACTCAAGTTTGGTTTCACTTTATATTCTACTAATTATGGGTATTAGAAAACAATGATCCAACCCTTCCTAGTAACAAACAAATTGTTTAGCTATGTTGATGGCTCCATCCCCTGCCCTTAATCTACTATCTCATCGACACCAAGATCTTCAGAAAAAGACAAGGAACAAGTTGTCACCACACAAGCCAAACCAGATTATACAACTTGGGTACACATTGATTCTCATGTCAGGATGCTTCTTTTGTCTACAATCTCAGAAACGGCTCTTCAGCATGTACATGGAACCACCTCAAGGGAGCTATGGTTGGCTTTGGAACATGCTTTTGCCACTCACACATCCTCCAAGGAGTACAGCTTGAAGACTCAACCTGTTGAAGATTCAAATGAAACCTGATAAATCATCAATCGTGTATCTCACTAGGGCTCAAGAATACTCGAATGCTCTTGCTAATATAGGTGAACCTATGAAAGAAAAAGACATGGTTATGCTTGTCTTATCCGGCCTCCGTAACAAATACAATGGTCTCAAGTCCACTATGCTTCTCAACAAACACCTATTTCCTTCATTGATCTTTATTCTCTTTTATTAGACCATGACTATATGGTCTCCAAAACCTCTACAGATGTTCCTTGCGCACAGGCCTTTGCTACAGTAGCATCCATTCGCAAACCAGCCACCACACCAAGCTCGTCACAAACCTCTACAGAGGTTGTTCAAACCATCCAACAACTTGTTGTCCAATTAGGTTTCCAAATACAACCCCTCGGTTCTTCGTAACCCCTAGCACAATATACGAACTGATTCCAAAACAATTGTGGTCGTTCTCAAACAAGAGATCAAGGGGCGTGGAAACTGCAACAACCAAAATCAAGGTACTTGTAACAAATTTAGATGGGCATCTAATCATAACACTGTGTATGAAACATGTAACATGTGTGGCATAGGACATGTATCATCACAATGTCCAAATTGTTATCCTAATACAATCAGGACTCGACAGTCGCAATCAGCTAACTTTGTTGATTCTCGCTTACATGCTTCAAACTATTGGCTTCTGGACATGGGGTCAAGTCACCATGTTACCTCCAATCTCTCCAATTTTGACCATTATGAGGGTTACTATGGAGACAATAACCTTCATATAGGCAATAGTAAGGGCTTACCAATATAACATATTGGCTCATCTTGTTTCTATTATCCTAACAACACATTTAATCGTAATCACATATTTCATGTTCCTTCCATTACACAAAATCTTATTTCTATTCAACAATTTTGCGTAGACAATAATGTTTATTTTGAGTTTCACTCTATATGTTTTATTGTGAAGGATGCAACTAGTGGGTTTTAGAGGTTACAACACAACGTACTAAGTGAAAACATATTCAAACAATTCAAATAAATTAGGGCACATGCAACCTAGTTGGATCTATGTCATTCAAGTAAAGCAACATATCATGAACCCCAGGTTTTAAAACTTTTCTATGATCTAATTAAATCATAAGAATAAGAAACAAAAACCTTTAAGATTGTTATTGTAAACAATATTTAACTCCTCCTTGAATAACCTTTGGTAGCAAGCGCCACAAGTTTCGCTCCTCTAACGGTTCACAAATACACTTAGCAAGAGGATAAGATATGAGAGAAGAGGTTGATGATTGTAATTTTTGGCTATTCCTCTAAGGAATCAAGTTGCCAAAATTAGGATGGGTATAGCCCTTTATATAGTTGTGTTAGTTTAGAGCCAAAGCTAGGGTTTTTAGGAGGAAACTCTAATTCCTTAGCTTAAGGCCTAAGCAGCCCAAGAAACCCATCCAAGAGGCCCTTGGACGAAATTTCTACGGTCTTCCTACATCATTTCGTCCAACCCATCTAGGAGGGTTCTAGATCCCAAATCCACAACTATCAATAAATTGCCAAACAACCCCTACACTTTTAATTAATTCATTTAATCCCAAAATTAATTACAAATTAATTTCTGATTAAATATTAATCAAATAATGTGATTTCAAATTAATATATTATTTCCATAATACATTGAATAAATCATTCATTTCAAATTATTAATCAAATATTAAATTCTTCCTCTTTCTCAATAGTTCATCCTGTCTAATTTCTAGTATGATGGCAACCCAAAAGGATCGTGCTACTATCAATTCATGTTTATACCAATTATAGTTATGAGCTTAGTCACCTAATCCAACGTTCTCCAACTTGGATAAGTCTAATAACTATAATTGACAATATAACTACCAATGTAACATCCCAAACTTCAAGACTAAAAATTTCTTTTTTAATTTAATAATTATAAAACCATTATATGAAAACGTCGTAGAATCAACTCATATCAAAATCAATGTATCCATAATCAAAACATGCCATGATAAAACAATATTAGAGTAACACTCCCAGAAATCCCATGTACGGAAAATGTAGTGTGATGCGCTATGATTATGCCGACTCATTTCCCTTCGAAGAGGAAGTACCTAAAACCAAAACTGAAAACTGTAAGCACGAAGCTTAGTGAGTTCCCCCATTATACCACATAATCACATACTGACAGGTATATTTGGGTGCCCGACTTACTCTATCAGTTATATCTGGGTGCCCGACCTACCATTTCAAGAATATATGGGTACTCGACATACCCTGTCGAGCAAATTTAGGTGCTCGACCTACCCTGTCAAGCATATCTGGGTGCTCGACCTACCCTACCAAGCATACCTGGGTGCCCGACCTACCCTTCGATTTATCTCAACTGGTTACGAGGACTATTTCACCGCTACCTCTACTATATAATACATAGCATAAACATACTACCAGGCATATATGGGTGCCCAACCTACCCCTTCAGTCCTTACGACCGGTAACGGGGTCTATCCTACGCCTCCTACCACTATCACATAGTATCATAGTATAGCAGCACATAAAACATGACAGATAGTAGCATACCATACAATTATCACAAATACAATCATCTCAACTATATTCAACTACTAGTGGGCCGGCATTGGTGTTTTCGACCCACTGTTACTAGAAGGTAACTCACCACAAATATTGTGAAGTAGTTGAACTGTCCTCAGCTCTGAAATCAACCTCACTCAAACTCCTACTCATAAAAGGTTTCCTTTAATTACCCTTTCATACTCATAACCCCTTAAGGGTCAACTTTGGTCAAAGTCAAAGTCAAAGTCAACAACCTGGTCAAAGTCAACATTCTGGGTTGACTCAACTCGCCGAGTTGGTCCATCAACTCGCTAAGTTCCATAGATCATAAACCCTGAAATCGCGACCTAACTCGTCGAGTTTCTCCTTTCAACACAATCGGGACTTTCCAAGTCCACACATTGAGTCACCCTCGAACTCGTCGAGTTCTTCCTTTTACAGAATCGGGACACTTTGACCCAACTCATCGAGTTCTTCATTCTGTTAAGCTATCTTAATAGATTAAGTTCCTATTCTTCAAATCTAAGATCCACACTTCATATGCATACCGAAAATGTCCTTTTAAGGGTAAAGTTTCCACGTTTACTCGTTAATACTCTTTCATAATGGATTTAGCTCAAACTCTAACTCTTTAAGACCTAGATCTTTATCCAAAAGCCATTAATAATTCAATCTAAGGCATACAAACTGAGATCTAGACCCTAGACACTACTTGAACATGTAAAGTCTCTGTCTTTCTCACCACGCATGGCCTTTTGGGGCTTAAAAGGCCAAAATGACATCCTAAAGCTTTCATGGACTTCAATGGCCATAAAGTCTTCACCTTTATACCATAAAAGCCCTTCAAGGTCCTAGATCTGGAAGTATACTCACTTGGGACATCCATTTCACAAGTACCATGCTTCTTGGACCACAAACCAATAAAAGTGACAATGAAGAGATCTAAGTAATCATTAAGCAAGTTTG